AATAGAGTAAAACTATTTTGGGTGCCAGGTCACCAAGGGATCGAAGTTAACGAAAAGGCTGACGAACTTGCAAAAAGAGGGTCATAAGAAACACCAGAACCAGACACAAATCCAGGAGTACCATAAAGTACAGTCCGGGGTTTCATAAACGACTGGATTCGGGAACAACATAAAACTATTGGGGAAGCACCCCAAAACAGGCACATGGAAAAGCCTTCATAGGCAGACCATGTCCCAAAAGAACTGGAGAACTACTCTTAATGAATAGGAACCAGTTGAAAGTGATAACAGGGTTCATGACTGGGCACGCCCCAGTAAAGGGACACTTGAACAAAATTGGCATGTACAATGGGGAACTCATGTGCCGACTGTGTCACAAGAAACCAGAAACTGGCCAAACACATACTGTGCGAATGCGAAGCTCTAGATCGTAAAAGACAGGCTCTTTTTGGACAACCCCAGCTTGATCCAACAACGTATAGAACCCACTCACCCAAGGATCTGTACAAACTTGTACAAGGGTACAAAGGTGACAGAGTGGGTGCTATGAACTAACATGGGGTAAAACACAATAAGCCAATAGGCTTCAGTGTTATTCGGAGACACATAGTCAAACGAGCCCAGGAGAAAGAAAAAAAAAAACATATTTACCTTCTTTAAAGAGCAATATAAAATATACCGGATATTATTGAAATACATGGTACATATTAAACGAGATTAATATATAGACTCTCCTGCAATGTGCAAAAATATTATTTTGAAAATTTACTTAATATAATTGAGAAAATGATTAAACTTTGAAAAATTTCAGGAACATTTTAGGACGGAAATCGTTTTGCTGAGATATACCTGGTGTTCTAAATTAAAGCGTTACAGCTATATACAGCTTTTTATAAAAAAAAAATTTTTCAGACGAAAGTTTTATAGTTTTGTAGGGAAAAAACTTTTGGCTAAAATCGTTTTTTATAGCTAACCATAATATGGTCAACTTTTTTTTTTCGCGCAGCAACATTTTCAAGTAGCTGTAACTCAAAAAGGTAAAAGTCCAATAAAAAAAGATTTCCCTCAAAAAATTTCTTATTTTTTTATGTACTTTAAGAATATGTAAGAAAAAAATGGGATTCCCATTTAAAAAAACGAAAGTTTACCTCTATATGGCCATATTATGGTCAGCTATAAAAAAAGGAATTTAGCCAAAATGTTTCCCCCAAAAAACTATAAAACTTTTGTCTGAAACTTTTTTTTCTAAAATGCATATTTTCGGCGGTATTTAACTATAACACTTTAATTTGGAACACCCGCTATATTGTGTTAGAGTGTAAATAAAAATTATCACAGTGTTATTCCATAAAAAAATTAATGTCTTCCTAATTGACTTCTGACAGTTTGACCAATGGAGTACTAAGATATTTTAAAATAATGTTGATAAATGGTCAGAAGTGAACTGGATGGAATAAACTATAAAATACGAGATATAATGATGGATCGAGTGGAGCACCGGCACTCTCACTATCGCTAATATCTCTATTATTTCTTCCACCTAGCCTTTTGACCAATTTGCAAGTAATTTTATTTTGAATTACAGAATAAGAATACAAATTGTGAGAAGTGTACCTAGTGACATTATTGTTGCTAAATTTTTCGCAACATGAGCGCCTTCTGGCGACTTTTTCTCTTCCACTTAGACTTCTGACAATTTTTTCCCTACTTTCTTATATCTCCGATAATACTACACATTTTCAGAGCTGTACCTTATCACTAATTATGCGAAAAAAATTGCATGTTTGACCCTCTATCCTTACTTTATGCTTCCTGGGTGATTTGTAACTGCTCGGCTTTCGCTATGTTGGTAACAATCGAAACTGTAAATAACAAAATTTTGACTTTATCGAGTCACCCCTACTTTTGTGTCGCCAGCTCTCCGTCTACTAGGCAGTTGAATTTGTAAAGAAAAATATCCTGCATCTATGATATTGTATCCGTTGCAAAAGTAGGCCGGAACTTTAAAGAAACCTAAGTGTTTTAGATCTGTCAACTTTAATTTTATTATTTGATTTTTTTAATTAGGCATTCCAAACAAATTAATTACCAGTGGGCAGGTTTGGTATATCTAAGGGTGGCGACATATGGTGTATTCTATCTACTTTACGTAAAATCATGAATAATGGATTACATTTAAATATTTTATGTCAAACACAATAAAAATAATATTTAAAAACCCACCTATACATTTCTTCATAAATTGGCAGGCTTGGCGAGTACTACTTCGAATAAAAATAGCGTCCAAGTTGCAAGACTATGTCGCTACCCCCCTAAATATACAAGAATTTCCCACTGGCAACCTATTGTTTAACAGGTCGTTGGAATGCCTAATATTATTTGCTGCGTTTGAAAATTACCTACCTCATTTTGCTCTTTTACTCGAAGTCGTTCTTTTAATACATCTGCGGCTTCTCGATTGGATCTGCTACGTGGTCTTTTAATGCAGAGCTGGTAAATCGAGTAAGATCTATTTACTCCGAGTTAAATTTTAGAGCTTTCGGAGTAAATGGAATTTCTGTGACAATTGACAAAGTAGATGTACTTTTCTGAGATTTATAGACATCGTTCGTTGTCTCTTGTATTGCAGTTTATTCTTTTTCATATGTGTGTGGTTATTAAAAAAATATTTATAAAACATGTCAGACAGAAATGAGAACATGGTTTATTTTCTAGTGAAAGCAAAAAAGCGAAAAATACCACAAATAAAAATTTACTTTACTTGGCAACTTGCAACAAAAACCACGAGACGAGAGATCAAATTTAATTTAAAAGAAAGGGTTTACGGTTGTTATTTTAATGAAAACCGGATACGGGAAACACAAACAAATCCATAGCCGTTCTTTTATTCCACATAAGCTCGATTTGCTCGATGATCACGTGACTAAAAAATCTACTAGCTTTACTCCGCTCCGTGAGGTACTTTTCAAACGTAGCAATTAGATATTCCAACGACCTGTCAAAATGCTGCCAGTGGGAACTGACAGTTTGGATATGGCAATCCTGTGGGCGTGTTGTCATTGACAGGGTCAATGATACATATATAGATTACTCAAAGCGGTTTGTTTGCGAGATCCTCAATTTTTTTGTGGAAAGTCATATGCACCACACGGTCGGAATTAGGGTATGGGGGCTATTGTTTATGGAAGAAGGTCACCTTTGATATTCATCAGAGACACCATGACCGCCTTGCGTTACATCCAGGAGGTTGTAGAACCACATGTTCAGCCTTATATTCGGACGCTCCCCAGCCCTTTTTCCAACAAGATAATGCACGACCACATGTAGCCAGAATTACGTTGGCTCATTTTGAAGACAACCAAGTCGGTTTGTTGCCTTGGCCTCCTAAATCTCCTGATCTTTCACCCATAGAACACGTCTAGGACATCCACAGACTCTAGCGGTACTTCAGCATGAGGTACAAGTTGCCTGGGATGATATATCTCGAGAGAAAATCGACCATCTTATTAGGAGTATGCCCCGATATGTTTCTGAGCGCAGAAGACTTCGAGGAGGCCCAACACATTAATTTTTCACTTTTTTAACAGTTGGATTTTGATCGATTACAACAAACAATTGTTGTAATAAATTCATTAATACTGGGTGTTCTGATTTCTATATCACTTAGTATATACGACCTTGACGCAAATGCATCTGTAGAGAACATTACTTTCATATTAAAAGACTAGACATACAACATGCGTAGAAAAGAACATGAAGAATATAAAAATTCTGTAGTTTAAGTTAATCTTTTATTCGTGAAATACATATACTCTTCGTGTATCTAATTTAATCGTTAAACTGTATACTCAAACATAATTTTTAAAATTTTACTTACTTTCAAAAGTATCCATGTCTGAAAACGTCCATATAGGGTGTCCCGAAATTAGACGGTCATATTTTAACAGCGTAATCTACATCCTAAAATAGAAGTAAAAGTTCATATAAACATAGGTCCGAAAACGTTTCATTTTCGAGATACAGAGTGTTACAAGTGAAGTCCTGATGGCACATTTTTGTAAATATTTTCTAAAATTTCTTTAGTCACCGGTTTTCCAAAGTTAAAAAAATAAAATTTCTAATTCCATAGACCTACTAATTTCGAATAAGATAACATCAATTTATCATGAAATTTTCAAATGCTTTTCTCTTGAAAATGATGCGTCCTAGCGAGATTCAACAAAAGTAGCTTTATTATAAAGAAAATATTGGTTTTCCAAATTTTGTAGTCAAAAATGTTAAAAACAGTCAACAAAAAAATTTAGGACAATTTAACCCTAAGCCCCTCCCCTAATTTACCCACCTATGAAGATGATCAAAAACTGGCTTTTAATCTAATAAATAGCGCGTAAAAAGTATAGCATTTGTACCAAATTTCACTTAGTTATATTTAATAGTATTTACAAAAATGTGTCATCAGGATTTCACTTTTAACACCCTGTATCTCGGAAACAAAACGTTTTCGGACCTATGTTTATATCAACTTTTACTCCTATTTTAGGATGTAGATTACGCTGTTAAAACATGACTGTCTAATTTCGAGACACCCTGTATATCGTAATAGAAATTCTATATGCGACATACGCATTCAGCCTCCAGCGGCTGAAGGTGCCGGGATACAGAAATTCCGTATGAAAAAGTAAATAAAAGTAAAGTGTAAATAGGTCCATTTGAATGTATGTTCAGCATGAATTTCGAATACGCATATCTCGCATACAGTATCCTCGTCTGAAAGAGGTCTGATTGTCAATTTGTAAAACTGTCAAATATTTCAGTTTAACAGACAAGTGTAAATAGGTCATGGGGATTAATGGGATCAACTGTCATGAAACATTGCCTAAATGCCTAAATTATTTTAAATTCCAGTCCCATCCTAAGCAAATAGTGTTAGAAGTATTTCCATTTCCATTTGTTTTAATAGGCCCCTATTAATTAATTATAATATTTAATGTGTGTTATAGAAACGAATAAGGCAAATGGAAAATCAAGTATTAAATGACGATGATTCTTCCGGTATAGACACAGAGGTCGATGATACAGACATAATTGTAGGAGAACAAGTAAGTATCTATAATAATTCAATAATAATAAATCTCATTAAATATCCAAACAGTTGCTGCGGCAAATTATTTAGATAAGGAAATGAAATAAAGTAAACTTTTAAGGTTGGCGTTCTCTCGTAGAAATGCGCTGCGCCGTATACAGGGTGTACCAATAAAAACTCCCAGGCCAGATATTTTGGTAAGTAATAGAGATATTTTAATTCTGTAAAAGCCAGTTTACAGAGCACTAAGAGAGATTCAGTTTTATACATAAATTGCTTTTAAATAGGTCAATATGTAGATGGCGCTGCGCTCAATAATTTTTTTCAATGGGAGAATCTTTCTTGTGTAGTACATCTTGTAAAAATGCATTTTTAAGTAGATTTTGTTCTATGAACTAATTCGATAAACCTAGCCATTTTTGATATACAGAGTGGGTCACTCAAAATAGTTTCATCCTGTTTTTCAGCATTCATCACTGAATTTTAAGAAAATGCTAAAACAGGTCGATTTTTATTCTAAATTGAACGCATTTTTACAATACATACATCTGTCACGTGTCAACCCCCTCCTTTGCACTTCTCCGTCACCTTTTAAATAGGTAATGTACCATGTATGACATTGAAATGGTAATTTAATGAGGGATTCAGAAATGTCTGTACATTGCTTACTATTACGTATTATAAAGTGTGACACTACCATGTGTATTACTTTATTGAAAAATTAATTTTATGGGAATTTAGAAATATGACTGCTTATTGCGATACTTTTAAATATACCGCCTTCTATCGGGATAAAAAACTGTATTATAAAGTGTGATACCTTATTTGAAAGCAAATTTAATTACTAATTTAATGCACCACATACCATTAATAGACCTTTTCATCATGTGATGAGCGCAAGCGCAGCCACAATGTTGAAATAGCGGTAATTCAAAAGTTTCGTACTGTTTTGATCGACAATGGCTGGAAAGCAATATTATCTCTACAGAAAAATTAATCATTGGAAAAAATCGTTGACTTTTTCATAACTCTGTAGAAGCGCATAGTTGTAAGAAGTTGAAAAGGTGGTTGAAGTGTCTTAGACGTTTGATACAAACGAAAAAAGTGGACTGATTGAGAGGTTAGGTGTGTATCAATACTTCTTAACTGTGTACAAAATTAATGAAAACAAATAATAATTATAACTCTACTCCAATTAATTATGCCAACCAACTATTAGTACTTGCAAAAACACTTTAACTAACATGAAAGTTAATCACGAGTATAATTAATAAAATATATTAGGAATTTAATATTTTGAGGATCAACATGACATTTTTAATCATATTACTGTGTATACCGAAGTAGAATTTAATATTAAAAAAATATTGTTTAATACCAGATAATAATTTTCTTCTGTTGGACCACTTTCTCCATGAAAATGTAATTAACAAATATAAGTATATTCAGTAACATCATCAATCCATCGAAAACCGTTGTCACTTCGGTCTTCGACCACATTTTTTCGCACCTAATGCACATTTGCTTGATAAATTGATAATTTTTACGATATTGCAGCCAAGGCTTTGGAATATTTATAAAATAATATGTATTGTATGTATTACCTTTGAATGATTTATACCGTATGTCAATTTTACATACTCCATAACAACACCGTTTCGTTGTTCCTTTGCGTACAGATAACATAATTATAATTGATTGCAAAAATATATTTTTCAATTAAGACACTAAAATTATTATTATTACTTTGCTTTTTCTTTTTTTTTTTTTAATGAATATACTTAAATTAATATTTATCGATTATAATTTTTTTCACGTGGGCATTTTAACATGCTTGTTTACAAAAACAGTACGAAAAAGATGGTTCGATACTGTCGCATGCGCACAAAAAAAAAAACATTTTTTAGTCTTTCGATATGTTCCTGAAGGGATGTTGAATATATAATAATGTCGTCGAGGTATACTAAACATTGTTCGTTTTGTATACCTCTGAGAATATTATCCATGACCCATTGGAATGTGGAGGGGGCTCCTTTTAGTCCAAAAGGCATGCGACAAAATTCCCAATGGCCTTGTTCTGTGGAAAAAGCTGTCTTTTCAATATCTTGTTCATTCATCTCGATTTGGTGAAAACCGCTCGCCAAATCGAGAGTTGTAAAATATTGACACTTGCCCAATTTATCCAATAAATCCGTGATATTAGGCAATGGGTACTTATCGTCTATAGTTTTCGTGTTTAGTTGTCTATAGTCGATAACTACTCTCCACTTTTGTTTTCCTGAAGCATCTAGTTTTTTTGGAACCACCCATATGGGGGAATTCCATGGTGAGTTACTAGGCCTTATTATGTCAGAGTCTAACATTTTTTTGATTTGTTTTTGGACCTCGTCTTTATAAATAAACGGGTACCGATAAGGACGAGAGTAAACAGGAATTTCGTCCGTGGTTCGAATTTTATGTTTTGTTCTGTTGGTAAATGTTAAAGGTGTATTTTCTTGAAAGAATACATCTGAATATTCTTGACATATTTTTAAAATAGCTAATTTCTCTTCTTCGTTTACGTGACCTACCCTAATTTGACCTAAATCTAATTGTTGTATTGAATCATTTTCAATATAATTAAAATCAATATTTTCGTAATCCTGTTTTTCGAATTTTTCTACTGTTACTGGTTGCGAAAAATCTAATGTTACTGGGACCGTGTTATTATTTAGAATTGTGGTTATTGCCTCGCCGTTTTTTGCTATAGTAAGAGTTTCTGGTATTTCACAATTATGTATTTTCTGATGGGGGATAATAATTTCTCCATCTAATATATTACTTCTAATTTTAATAACTTGGTGGCTCCTTGGAGCGATTTCAATTAAGTTGAGCTCTTTGTTAGTATGGTAAAATAAAAAATTAATTCTATTATAAGGAGTAACTAAATATCCGTCTTTAAAATCTAAACTTGCCTGTAAATATTTAATATTATCTAAGCCAATAAGTCCATTAAATACATTATGAAATTTAAATAAATAAAATTTAAGATATTTAGTTTCTGGTAATTTAAATATTTTTGAGGCTGGAATGGTAGCGCTAAATTTGTGAGCCGATTTTTGGAAAACCGTTGACACTATGAAAGGGTCCTCTCTAATTAAATTTGGAAAATATTTATTAGCGATCACTGGGTCTATAAAAGATTTTGTAGATCCGGAATCAATGAGAATTTTGATATCATATTCTGGAAAAATAATATACGGCAATTCACTAGAATTGTTAGTATTAATGGAAATTATTGGTGGAGTTAACTTTTTTTCGACTGTTGAGGCATTACCTGAAAATTTTCATTATATACGTTCGCGATATTCGAAATTTCATCGCAATTCTGATCATTTGGGTGATATTGATTAGTCTCAAATTGATCAGTATAATAATATGTATTGACATTATCACAAAAATTATTTTGGTCAATTTCTGTGGTAAAAAGTTCTTCGGCAACAAAATTTGGCCGCTGATTATAATTAAAATTGCGAGTGGAAGTACTCATTGGAGTGGGTTTAAAATTTTGATTTTGCCTATTGAAATTTGATGGACCGGGTCTAGAATAGTTTACAGTATTTCTAGTTGACACACTCATTGGCGTTGGTTTAGAAAAAACTTGATTATTAGGATTCGGCTTGAAAACATTTGTATTTATTGGCTCTTTAAAAACTTGGGCGTTTGTAAAATATCTTGGTTGCTGAACATTTGCTCTAGGTTGAATATTTATCGGTTGAGATGGAAATGAATTTTGCCTGAATTGATTAGTTTGAATATTAAAAGGTACATTTTGAACAAAATTATTTCTTTGCTGTGCAAATTGTATTTGTCTGCTTTGATTTATTCTATTTTGTGGTCTTGTAAAATTTTGATTTGGGAAATTTTGAAAATAATGATTATTTTGTTCTTTTATAACATACTGTAAAGCTTCAGTTAAACAGTTAGGCTTCATACACCTTATTGTAGTGCCCAAGGGTTCTTTTAACCTAGATAGAAATGTTTTCAAAGCTAGTTCCTGATATAATGTTCGTTTAAGATTTTTCGCTTCTAGCGTGGTCTCGTGTACTTCGACATAACTACATAAAAGATTCAAAATGTCTAAACATTTGTCAAAAAATTGTTTTGGAGTTTCATTTGGACCCTGTCTTAACATGACAAAATCTCTGTTGAGACGGGCTTCATCTCTCTGATCGGCAAAACTAGTAGTTAAAATTGCTTTTAATTCTTCCCATGTAGTTACGCTTTTTATATTAGCAACTTGTTTAGCACTTCCGCGTAATTTACCTATGACTGAATTTAACAAGAAAAAGTTTTTGAAATTGTTTTGATTTTGGAAATCATAAAAATTGCCAATTAGAGATTCACTAGTAGATAAATATCGACTTAATTCGCATGGATTCCCATCAAATTCGGGAATACAACTTAAATATTCTGATTTAAATTCTTGAGGCATCTCGCTACTATTTAAATTCTCGTTACTATCTAAGTTTTCGTTATTATCTAAGTTTTCGTTATTATCTAATTTTTTGTTACTATCTAAATTTTCGTTACTATCTAATTTAGTCAGTTAAAGGAGAATCAATACTTAATCTATTTAAATTTTGTAGTAAATCTTCCATAAGTTGTACTTACATTAATATGAAAATGACCTTCAGCATTCCTTAACTATGAAGATGGACCACCAGATCTGCGATTTTGTCTTCTCTGATGAGATCTTCGTGAATCGGGACGATTTTGTTCCAAATTCCGGTGTTCGTCTAGTTCTGAGTTGCACTGGTTCGATGATTGAGCCGGTTTCCTGATTTTTAAGGAGCCGCCAACACAACACGTCTACTTCGCGAAATCACCCTGTATACTAGGTTCAATTCAGTCAATCGTTGAAACGAAAAATTTACGTTCGATACGTAAACTTCTGAGAATCCTACTGACTGCGCCAAATAATTCTCCACAATGCCGAAAGTCTTTTTTAAAAAATTTATTTTACTTTTAAATTAC